TTTGGAGAACGCAGGGATTGTCATTGCTTTAGGGACTTGAGAGTTGAAGCCATTTACTTTTTCAGCTTCTTGCACTGCTGGCATGACCATCGAGTCTATTTGTTGGGTTGAGCAGTTTGGCACAAGGGCAAAAGGTTTGGCATGACCATCGAGTTCGCAATGGCAGTCGAAGGCTCCTCCGCAGATGTTGCCCAGGCATCAGGTCCTGCAGAGACTGATGCTGCTGCGGGTGCCACAGAGACTCAGACCACTGAGCTGGCTCAGGGCCCAGGGCCCACCATTGGCTCAGGGCCCACAGAAGCCAGTGAGGAGGTTGTGGTGGAGAGGCAGAAGGCCTTGAGTCAGATGGTGGACTTGGTCTCGCAGAGCTTGGACAATGCTTTGTCACCAAGCATTTTTGCGGTGAGTGCAGCTGACTTGTTGGGCCACTTCAAGCACCTTGCATTATGCATTGTACAAGGCTTCGCATTTCAGTTTGAAGCATTTGCACTTTACTTTTTGGAGGGTGTGGGGGTTAGGGAAGCATGTAGCATCTGTAATTTCAGTTCTTCGTAACATGTGACCTTGACTACCCTAAGTCTCTTCTCTGGGCCGCAAGACTTCTTGCGCATGAAGTATGACACGCAGAAGTACTATACTTGGTGCTTTGCTGGCTTCAATGCATGGCGCAGCTCATTCTTTCCTGATGGGGCTCCCACACATGCTTCCATTTGTGAGCTTTGTTGCCGCTTCTTGGCTTGAAGGTCAGTCAATGTTGCTTACACTGTACTTTGTATTTGGTGGTTTTGGTGCAATTAAATTTCAATGACCTCTTATGGCCAGGCCGGCCAGTCACATCCCAGGATTCAAGATTGAAGATGAGGACCTGCTGTAGAAGGTCAAGGACTTGGTTGCTCAGATGCCTGACAGGAACAAAGTCCCAACCAGGTTCCAAGTGGCTCCCTGGCTTTGATCTAGCATGCTTTGGCAGTGATAATTTGAGACTTGCTGTTGCCAGCTGCCCCCACCCCATTGATGAGAATGGGCTATCTTGAATGTTTTTTGATTCTGGATGAAACAAAGTTGTTTAAGGTTGCCAGCGCGGTCCGCGAGCTCTTGCATCAGTTTGTATGGAGCCAGGAGCATGGAGGGTACCAGATCTTGCTGCTTGCTGGTCTTTGCATGGTGTGGCCAATGGTTGCGAGCTGCGGCATCTTGAAACTTGGAAGGTCATAAGACTGAGCTTTCTATTTGGTTATTGGTAGGTGCCCTGACAAGCCCTTTGTTCTCAGCCCATCGCTTAGGATGAGCCAGGCTGGCGTGGGTGGCCTCTTCCATATGAGCCTGGGACTGAAGTGCTTCATTCTGTGACAAAGTATGGATGGGATTGCACTGTGGTTGCCGAGCATTTCCTGGCCCTCACTGGCCTTGGGCAGCAAAAGAAGCTTCGATCTTTGCCCCAGAAAGCTGGGCAGAGTGCCTTCACATCCCTGGAAGACCGGCCGCTTGGGCACTAGTGGACAAAGGGGGTTGGACTGGTTGTTCTATTTTTTGATTTTTGTGTTTGTCATTGCCATTGTCATCTTTGGGTGTTTTGGAGCTTCTTTCAATGCCTTGCCAAGACCACACAAATGAGGAATATTCAGCTGCTGAAGGCATGTTGGGCATCCCAGCGGTTCACAACAGACTTGATCAACTTGGCCATGGGCTGTGGCATAAGGTTTGCTGTCCAGCATCCAATGCTCCTGAAGCTTGGGCTTGGCTTAGTTGGGAGAAGAAATTTTGTACAAGTAAGTGGATGGTTTTGGTTTTGGTTTTGGCCTAATGATTTTGCTGGATGGCCCCTTTTATGTGTTGGCTGCCTCAACTGTCATTGCCTAGGCGCTGTGAGCCCTACCGCGTGGAGCGGGATCTTGCCTTTGGTACTAGGCAATTTTGCTTGCCGCTGCCAGGATCGCAGCCGCCCTTCAACTATAGCTTGTGGATATCAAGCGAGCAGTACTTCTATGCCATCAAGCTGGTGCCAGCAGATGTGGGCTGCAAGCTTTTCAAGACAGATGTCTTTGTTTTGCAGGCAGGTTTTGGGGGCAGAGGTTTTCAAATGGTTTCAAGCTCTGCGCAGAATTGCATAAATATATATATATATATATATATGTATTTGCCTGTTTATACTGCACACTTAAGTTTGCCAAGAGTGTGTCCATGGTTCAAAGTGGTTCATTGATTCCATTGCTGCTACCTGGAAGGCGGAAGCACTCAAGGGCGATTTCTACGAGTCCGAACAGGATTGGGTCTTTTCGAACAAGAAAGTTGTCTTTGCTGGCTGGTCTGGCGACACAGAAGATGACTTTGGCTTTCAGCTCGATGGATATGTCTTTGCAGCTTGGTTTTTTTAAATATCATGTTTCTGTGCAATTTTTGGGCTTGTGGTCCTGCCTGGTGCTTGGGCCAGAGCCACTTCCAACGACACTTGCAGGATCGGGCACTCTATTGCAAGAAGGTTTTGCTTGGCATGAAGATGGTCCGTCATGCTGACTCCAAAGGCAAACCCTTTGAGCTCCACCTCATGCGGTGTGTCAAGTGGAGCGACAGCTTGATGATGGCCATCCAGGCTTCTGAGAAGCGTGTTCAGAACTATGCCCAGGGCCCAGGGCCCAAGGTGAATGTGGAGCAGGACCATGAGGACAATGCCTGGGCCTAAGGCATGATTTGTCTAGAGCTGGCGCAGGGCAAGGCTCTGAGCCCAGGCCATGCCTGACTGCAACTTTTTGTCAGAAGTGCTCAGGGCACAGGGCACAAGAGATCCTGAGCCTGAGCAACCTGACAAGCTGAGAATCTTCCAAGCAGCCGTGAAACTTTTGCTGCTGGCTAGCCATTCAGAAAAAAGCTCCTGGCACCATGGGCTTGGGTTGAAGTTGTTTGGGCTCTAGGTCGCAGTGCTTGTTGACACTGAAGCGTTTCTTTGCCAGGCGTTGCAGTGGAAGCCGTCGCAGCTGCCTGGGCCCTCAGTGCCATTTCATGCATCTCAAATATTATTGGTGATGCCTGACACTGACTCAATTGTTTGCTGTGTTATCATTATGTGTCAGCTGTCCTTCACCTTGAGCCTCGTTGCTGGCACCATAGCCACAGTGTAGACACGCTTTCTTGCTGTTCCTAGGTCTGCCTGGGCCCTGGGCACGGCTCAATCTGGACTGGAGGCTGGCGCAGCACAGTGCCAGATCATTTCTTATTTGTTTCTGTCACTAGAACCTGAATCTCACCTACCCCTTTGCTGCTACCAAGCTGGATTTCACCCTGCATTTTGTCAAGCGATGATGTCAGTCCTGTTTTTGGGCCCTATCTGCCCCCATGCTTCAGGGGCACTTTCCAGGAGATCCAGGAGGGCTGGGCGCCAGCAAACTGAGTGCTTATCGTTGAGAGTGAGTGACTTGGAACATGTTTAAAAGGACAAATTTGGTCAAACTTGGTCGTAAATTTGTCTGAATTATGTTGTTAAGGAGCTTGGCTTTTTTGTCATAGCATTAAATTATCTTGTGAGTTGCCAAGCCATGGTCCTGTTGCAGTGTTTGCCCACTGTTCACGCAGGTGCTGTCACCTTTGCTGTCACCTTTGCTGGGCCCTTTGGCAAGGGAGGGTGGGATGCGGTATTAGTATTATTAATATACCCTTATGATTCAATGTGGATGTGACTTCTATGTCTCAGTCTCAATTGAAAGGTCACCATAATTAACAATTAGAGCCTTATCAGGTCAGGCACATTTTCTGGCCATGCCAACGCCAATGCTCAGGCTGGCCTGGTGACTTGCCGGCTTCTTTGCGCCTGGCCCTTTTGTTTAGAAAACTGCATTCTGATGCATTTATCATGCATTTCCCAATGTCATGTTTTCCTCCAGCAGGCCCAGGGCACAGGGTCCAGGGTTTCAGGTTTTGACAAAGAAGCGCCACAGTGTGTTTTGAAATTTGCCTGTGTCAGGTTGGTGCATTGTGGCTGAGTACTGGTCAGCACCTGAGTGTGATGCCCACACAACAGAGCATTGCTGAGTACATTGTGCTCACCATGACAGCACCCAACTCTCATGAACTGAAACAGTGCAGCGCTTTAGGTCCTGATTCTGCTGCCTGCTTTTACACTGATGTCAATTTCCTTCCCTCTACACAAACTTGCTGGCTTCAGGTCAGTCTAGTTGGCGCTTGCCTTGGAGTCTGAGCAGTGCCTTTCTCAGCCCTGCATTTCTTCAAGGCCAATCGCCAACTGTCTATTCTGAAAGTCAGCTGTGGGGTGGAGGAGCTTTTCTTCACAGGCCTTAAAAGTCAAGACCAGGACTGACTAGACAAATCTCAGTTCAGTGCTGTTGTTAGGCTGCAGCAGGCCCAGGGCACAGGGTCCAGGGTTTCAGGTTTCAACAAAGAAGCGCCACAGTGTGTCTTGAAAGTTGCCTGTGTTTGGCACCTTTGTCTTACCTTTGTGTGTTCTCTTGGGGGTAGTGATGTCAAATCCTTACATCACGCCTTACCAGGGAGGTGGTTATGTGTGGCTGCAGGGTTTCAACTTGGTGAGGCACCGCCAGCTATGCGAAATCTTCATCGCTTGCGCTACAGCTTTTAAAGCTGCTTGGAAGGTTGCCAAAGGCAGCCTGCCTTCTGAGCCTGGCTGCAAGAAGAGAGAGATTTGGACTCTCAAGCAGATGTGCCATGTGTGGGACTTTTTGAAAAGCATTCGCACACTAGCAAGAAAGCGCTCGGTGTGTGTAGGGAAAGTGGCCCTGAAGCCACTGCGAAAGTAGTGAGCTGCCTGAATTTCAATTAGTTCTTGCTGGCATAGTCTGGCTCCACTGCCCTTGATAGAGGATCTGAATCCTTTGTTGTTGGCAACACCATGGAGCCAAGCAACACAGTAGGGTCATTGCTGCAGGGGTTGGGACAGCAAAAAATGCAAGCTGCACTGTCCTGTTCAATACACCCTGGGATTTCACCATCCAGTAGTGTATTCACAGGTCATGGCGATCCTACTTTTCACTTTTCAAGCTTATGTGAAATCACACAGCATTCATTACATACAATACACCTCGGGGTGGTGAAATCCATTGGTGAATTCTTAGGTCGCTACGCCCTTTCATTTCACTTTCCTCCAATTCACCCTTGGTTCGTGCAAACCATTTTGACCCTAAGAGTTTTTTTTTTCCAACCCTTGGCATCTGTCTCAGGTGCTGGCCAATGGCTGGTCGTCCTCCAGTTCCTGCTTTGGAAGCTGTGTCTCAATGGCTGAAGGAGGAAGGGCCAAGGAATGAGTGGAGGAAGCTTTCACATGCAGCATTTGAGGCTGAAGGGTGCAGCAGCAGAGTACTGAAGGGTTTGTTTGGTTTGTACGAACCGGGAGTGAATTGGGGGGTGGCCCTACCTCCTTCTTTTCATGTGCTTCCAGGCGGGAAAGCTTTGTGCTAGTGGAAACGATTTGACCACCTTGGCAGAGTTTGTCTTCCGGGGTCTACCTGCAGATGATGTGCCAGCTGTGGCTGCCCCAAGTTTTTTTCAGCCCTTCACCTGTGCAGCTTTGACTTGCCCAGGCGACCATGGCTGCCTACTTGCTGTATCGCAGCCGGTGTTTGCCTGCCAGATTTTCTCCAAAAGCGTTGCCTTTGGAGCTGCTGAAGCATTGCAGCCCTTTTCTGGAGTTGAAAAAAGGTATACCTTTATCATTTCATCATTGCTGTCAAGGCTCTTACCTGCACACTGTGTCAAAGAAGCCCAGCCTTGAGCCAAGTTTTCCTATTTAATTCCTATTGTGCTTTCCAGGACTTGCAGCCCTGCCAAGGCCAGGATCGCACTGCCAAAGCCTTGAGAGCTCTCCTGCGGCAGGAGACTTTTGCTTCCCTAGACCCAGCTGAGCAGCTGGGCTTCATTGTCATGGGTGCCTATGTGCGGGACTACAGGCATGCTGCGGCATGCTTCCAATCTATGCACTCACTGAGCAACAGCACAGTCCTGTGCATCCAACATTTGACCTGCCTGCCAGGCTTGCAGAGTTCTTTCTCCGGTGGGTCCGGGGCACAGGGCACCAGGGTCTTTGCTTGGCCAGTGCCTTGGTGGCCTTTTTCCGAGAGACCGGAGGACCAGGCCAGCGCAGGCGTTTGCTACCTGCCAAGACCATTGTCCGGAGATCCATTGGCAAGCAGCGGAAGCAGGCTCATTGGCTGTCACCACCATGTCTGACAGGCAGTTTGGAGTTGTGGCTGACAGGTACCAGCTGTGAAAAAGGCCACTATCCAGCCCAACACTGACATCAACTCATTGACTTTGCAGACAGCCTTAGCCATGACAGCTCAATTTTTGGATGGCCGCGTTCATCAGATGATACTGGAAGTAGATGGTGAATGGAAAGTGCATGGGGGCATGCCCCTTGCCAGTCATGTTGTCTTTTTGAGCAGTCAGTTTTTCTGCAATCTTTGAAGCCTAGTTGACCATCATCAGTACTAGGAGATTAGCCAATGCTCAGGCTGTCTCGGCTTGAGATGCGGGCCAACAAGCTGATGCCTGTGCACATATGCCAGACCTTGTTTTGGTTGCAGAGGTTGGCCAGCCCCCAAGAGTGCGATCAGGTTGAATGATTTCTGAATGGATTTCTGGCAGCAAAGCAAGGACTAGTCAAGTTTGCCAAGTTAGCAGCACAATGCAAAAGATTTGGTCAAAAAAGGTTGCGAGTTTGACCAAATACTTGGGCTGCAGGAATGGCACTAATGCCAAAGCATTTCGATGCTGGAGTGCTTGCCCAGACCCGGCTCAGATGCTGCAGCAAGTGCTTCTGCAGTTGGAGAGTTGCCGAGAGGCACTGCCTTCCAAGAAGCAAGAGATCAGGAAGTTGATTTCTGAGCTCACTGTAGACCTGGTCACGGTCACTTCTTGCAAAGTGCTGCAGGTTCTTAAGAGTCTCGGTTTTTTCCGGCATTGGCATGTTTGTTGTACACCATGCTTGATAAATCAATGACATTGCAGCTTGGTAGCGCTGCCAGCATTGCGCTCAGGAACTTCCTGTTTCGCAAGCGGAGTGCCTCAGCTTCCAGTCAATTGTGTGCAGACTTCCGTGGAGTTCTTTGATTGCTGAGATAATTGGTATGCTGTTGAAGTTCCAGACCTCAATCCATGGGTCCATGCTGCTTTGGCCAGGAGGTGCAGTCAAACCCGTCATTCTATATGGCATAGCTGTAGCGTTGCTTTCACGCTAATTTGAATATTCTTGGCCTTTTTGCAGGAGGGGTGTGGCTTTATGAGTTGTTGTATGAGGCCAGCTGTTCAATTGCAAATTTATAGTATTCGGCCTGCAGTCTTTGTGACATGGGCACCATGGTATACTGTACTCAATGCCAGGCTGCAGGGCACTGGGCACCAGACATTGGGCCAAAAAACAGGACTGTCCTTGAATCCTTCAATCAGTCTTGGGTACTGTATCTTCGGCATGTCCTGCGCATTGTGATTGCATGCTTTTCTTCTGCAGCCGTTTTGTTGTGACCCAGCCTTGAACATTTTGCACCATGGCTGCTGGCGGCAAAACTGCCCTAACCATCCTGGGCTATGCAGCTTGCCCATCCCAGACTGGGCTGGCCCTGTGGTGAGTGGCTTGGCGCCGCTCCCTGAATGTGACAGGGCTTCGGGCAGCGCTAGGGCTTAGGGCACAGGGCTCCAGGCCTCAGGGTCTGCTTAAACACAGTGCCACCGGCTTTGCAGCCCACATGTCAGCTCGGCTCCGACTTTTGAGAGAGAGCCATTTGCAACTTGTTTTGCAAGCTTGCCATCCTGAGCCTGAGTGTAGGGCCTGGGCTACTTTTTGAAGATGAGAGGGAACGCTGCGAAGCAGCTAAAATTCTTAGGCCATTCCTGGACATAGCCTTGAATGGAGCACGTCAGTCCTATATGGCTGGCTGAGGAAGACTGGGGAAGCAGTATGTCAGAAAAGTTTAATCTCATGCGTTGCATAAAAGCAGTGGAGAGGCAAACTAGCAATGAGACGTTTTGTCATTGTTAAAGACATGTTATTTTTGTGTTGTTTCTTCTCGGTTGCAGGAGCTGTGCGCAATCCCTACTGAGACACTTCGCCTCAGGCCACCCAAGCAAGCATTCACTTTGCGCAGCCTTTCAGCTCCTGCTTCTTGCCAAATACTTCAGGAATCGCTTGCAGAAGCTGCCTTGGCCAGGCCTGGGGTTACAGGACTGTCCACCTTGCAGCCCTGGTTGCCTGATTTCCGGTCAGGTTGGATGATGCCAGATGGAAGCGACCAGCAGAGTGGCAATGGAGTAAAAGAAGCGACCAGTGGAATAGCCAAAATTTCATAGGATTCCTTAATATTTTTCTAGAGCTCGAAATGAGAAACCAAGATTAGTTGCAACACCTCGCAGAGAAACCATGCAACAATCATTTGGCCGTAAACCTCTCGTGTTGCTTAACTACGGAAAGCCTCCTCACGCTCTACTCCCCCCCAGCCCAAAAAAGCACACAAATACTGTAATGGGCCTGCCAGTAACTGTCACTGCTGGGCGCGGAGGGGTGATTTTCTTGGTCGCACCCAGTGCGGATTTGTTGTTGGACCGAGGCCATGCCTGCTACGACATATACACATACTATGATAGCCCCTGGGCGAAAAAGAGGATGTTTGGAGAGTGGATTCCGTGCATTAGCCTTTTTGTCCAGATGGGATGATGGAAATGTAACTTCCACTGACTCCTGCTCTCGGAGGTGGTTACTACTGGATGTTCTTGACGCATATCTCCTTGTGGTGTCAAGTTGTTTGCAGCGTCTGCCTGGTCACTGCAACGATGACTGGCATGAGAGCGTTGAGAAACGACTGGCCGACAGCAGCTTGCCATGAGTAATCAACCCAGACTGGTGATATGGCAAACCCGTCGAAGCAAATGACACAAACCCAATGGGATCCACTTATGCAAAGCTTACAGTATGTGTACTTATACATATATATATATACATTTATATATAGACATATACTATTTATAAAAATATTAATTCGGCATTTAATGATAACATGTGGACTGTGTTAGATAGCGGAGCAGCAGAACTCAATCGCTGCTCCACCCATCAACAAGCAATCACATTGACCACTCAAGCCTTTACCCTTCTATCGGATTCTACTTGCCCCTGGTGCATTGACTGTATTTTGCAGCACACCAGCATGACGTTCCTTTTGAATCGGTGTTTGCGCGTGAAATATGAGGAGAAGTCTGAGCCTTTAATTTGTCGAGTTGCTCTCGCCTTGTTCTCCCTGCAGTTACCGCGACTCGGCAGTTGGACTTGCCTTAATTAGGCTCAGAGATAGCTTGTGTTCACAGGAGTGGGCCGGTTTCCAAACAATGCTGAAATGACTTCTTGCCAACCTCTCAGGTTGTCATTCATGGTGGTGACAATGTACTGGTCCCTTGAGCAGCCGGTCTGGGACCTTCCTGCAGGCAGGGGCTGCACCAACGCTTTGGCCTGCGAGTTCACAAGAAGGTTCACAAATTTGTGAAAACGATGCCACAAATTTTTAGACGGGAGTACTAATTACGTTTCTACCTTTTGTTTTGTGGTGGGCGCGTTATATGAAATCCGATTTATTATGCATATATGTTTGTGTCAGTTTGCGTGGACCATTTTTGATATCTTGTTTTTTCAATATGGATTGTGCAGCTCAACAGAATAGAAGTTCGTAGGCACATGTCTCATGTCCATCAACACCCATAGCGAAGATGTTGCACAAGAACCCCCCAGTACACAAGCTTGTGTATATATGGATGGCATGGAAGCAGGCCAGAGAAAGCCCGCGGCCGCCACGTAGTGATACATTCAACCCTGGGAAGGCATCCGCGAAAGCTAAACGCCCAGGCTACTTGAGTGTCATGCGAGCTGCGTCGGATACTCGTTCGAGTCTCTCTCTCTCTCTCGACACTTTGGATTTGGGTTTGCTCGCAATGCCACACACACACACAGGCCTCCAAGCAGTTACTGTAGACAGAATCTTGCGTTTACATCATGTTCCACATGCAAGCAGATGTACAGATGTACCAAACGAGCTGCTAAAGATGCAGGTTCTTTATGGACGATGCTTAGGACTTGCTACCTGTCACCTTGCTTGACACTGACACAGTGCTTGGGTGCTCCCCCACAAGCATCGCACCGGGGTTCTTGGATTTCGGGCCGGCAGGCTATCACTCCTCTTATGAGAACTTGTACGTCCACGGACTTCAAAGCATCGGAGTCTTGGTGACCTTTCTCTTTGGGAGACTGAGCTGCAAGGGGGCCCGGGTCTTCGGCAGCCCCGGTCGAACGCAGAAAAAGTCTGCTCCGCAGGAGTTCCACAGTCACATTTTGTGGGACAGGTCTTGCTTGGCCTTTTGGCATGCTTGGAGCCAACAGAAGTAAGTACAATGAAAATGCCGGGCCTATGTGTCCTGACATGTTGTGGCAGTCTTCAGATCAGGCCGTTGGGACAGTACCTATTATATAATCATTCATCATCAAAACCGCTTCGAAGCAGCTGTAAGGAGAATTCCCTTTCGGGTGAGGCAGTGGGTTTGGCTCATGCTGTGCGGTGCCACTCGGCAGATCTTTTCCACAAGTGCCGGTAGTCAATTGAGGGGGTGTTGAGGTGTTTTGGTATGTTGTGGTATATGCAAAGTCACCGCCGCAATAACGGAACCAAACAAAAGCTACGTCGATGTACATCCTGTGAAACCGATCGCACAGCATGGATACAGGCATGAAACAACAACTGGATTGCGGCATCTGATAATTTGGTGTAGCCACTAATTTGGTGGAGCCAGCGGCATATTTGGTGGTTCAATGGCATCAAGTGGGATGTTTTTTCTTGTCTGCTTTACAAAGCTTGGTGGGAAATGCGAAACATTCCTCGAAAGAAAGATCTGGTACACCGGTGAAATCTAACATCTCTAAAAAAATGAAAACAGAAAAAATCCTTGTGCCGTGTTAGTGTGGCTGCTTTTGGCTAGTGCGTGTCCTTAAGATTTGGATCTATGTTAGTATTGAAAAGCTGCGGAAACAAACCGGAGAAATCTGGGTAAGGTTGGACGCTGGAGAGTCTAACGTGGCATAATCGAAAGCATGTTTCGAGCCACCTCGGGTGGTCTACGTTGCTTGTTGGCCATCAGGCATATTCTATGTTAGCATCTGCGGTTCCGCTGCAGAAAGTAGCCATGCTTACTTGAGAGTGTTGTATGTTAGTCTCCAAAAACCACATAGCCTCAACCACATAGGCTCAACCGGTGCTTTTCTATTTCCCCAGGAGGCCACCGTTGCAGGTGTGCCATGTTAATGAGCACTAACTTCGAGACCCGTGTTCTATGGAAGATTTCCCCGGAGTAAGTCAGCTGCTTCAAACAAATGGAACGGCATGATCCAGATGTCTTCTCCAGAGCTTTTGGTTGTAAGTCCTACCCCACGCCCCCAACTTGCATAAGACTGCTTGCCCCTGTTTTGGGCATTGGATGGGAGCACGATTGTGCCCGTTTTCCTTCAGCGATCGACCGCCAAGATAGAAATTGGGCATACAGCCACCGCCAGCCATGCCACGTGATCCCCCCTCTGGCTATATTAGCTCCAACTTGTTTGCCAAGGTCGTCTACTGCACCTGGACTTATTTGCACTTTTTGTTGCGTATTGGAAATTTTGGCGGCTGCTGCTTGTCCAAAATAGCTGGCCCTCAAGATCAGGATGTGGCTGTGATGCAGGGGCCGCCGCCCCTGGTTCTCAGTGTGCCGAGCTGTGCCGTGCAGGCCCCAAGTACCCCAGAGATGAGTGCCCCATCTATGCAGTCTTCGACTGGCACAAAGGCAAGTTCCAGATGCGTAGTTGTGAAATCCTTTGTTTCAATATGGTGGTTAACAATTTGCACTTCATCGTGCACCATGTTGCATCCTATGGCACTATGTCAGCAGCAGTTGATGTAGGCTGCATGTGCTTCCCAGCACTGCCAGGCTTGCATACACTGATATTGGGCTGCATGCTGATTTTGGTGGCTTGTCCTTTAGCAGCTTGGATGCATTGTCAGCCACCCCACAAACTCGCAAAGATTGCCTACATAGTCGTCATTCTGTGATGGATTATGGTTTACGCGCCCACAGGTGATGTCAATTTTCTGGCTGCTTGGCTGGGTGCGAGACTGGCTGGACAAGCCTCACTCAGGGCAATTTGAGGCTGATGAACAGGCTGATGAACTGTGTCGCGGGCAGTGCAAGCTTCTTGTGAGGTCACTCTTCTCTCTGACAATCTGTTGCAAGATCCGCTGCTGGAAGCGGCATAGCATGTCACAGCTGCATGACAAGCCAAGCATGCTGCAGCACACCGTGTGCACCCTCATCAATCACTATATAGTCCGCTTGTTGGTTTGTTTATGGCATCACCTCAATTGGGTGTCATCCAACGGAAATCCTAGCGGTCCTTGTCGTGGGATTGCAGGAGCCAAGAAAACCCTACGTGGAGGACTCCTCGGAGGAGTCGTCTGAAAGTGAAGGGCCTTGCTAACTTGGTGACTCGTCAGTCGAGTCCTCTGAAAGCAAGGTGGGATTCACACAGGGTAGGCCTTAGGACGGCAGAGTTTGGGGAGTAACTATATTTGTGGACCTCCAGGCTGCAGCGGAGCCCTGGAAGCCACCAGGCACACCCAGGCCATGGCCGATCTTTCAATGCTGAATGCTGAATGCTTTTGGAGCCTTGCTTTTTGCAGGTTTCCACTTCATGACGCTCAGGTGGCTTGACCCCCAATCTTCTTGTACTACAGAGCCGTTCTTGTAGCTCGGGGCGGCCAGAAGTGCCGCTGGACCCATTTTAAGCGATGCAATGCCAATCGTGAAGAGCAGCCACTCCGACCTGAGGAGAAACGGTCGGTGGCTGCAGACAGTGAGCTCCGCGTCAGAGAGTGAAAGCAATTCCCAGCGGAGGCCGGTTTGCAGCGTGCAGCCGCTCTCGCTCTCCACGGCGGGACGAGAAACCGACCGCAGGCAGAGGTTCCTTTTTAATTTAGTTTACTCAGTGATACTCTGTGTGTGTCTTATTCTTTTCCTCTCCCTCTCTCTATCTCTCCCTGTTGCCTCTCCTTCAACACATGTGCAGTAGGTGGATTCTTCTCGTGTCAATCACAGCTGAAGATCTTAAGCTTTATTTATGTCCCATGCAGCTGTGGTTTCCGCCTGACCTTTGCACCCAGCCCTCGGATTGCACTGTCAGGCAAAGACAGCCACACATTGCATGATTCCCAATTGGATGGCGAATCCATGGAGGTGCTCCCCTGTTGCCGGTGGTTGGTTAGAGGAACGCACTTGCCATCAAAACAAACTTCAAGAACGCATCCCGCATTCCCACAATGGAGGCCATCGCTATTAGGTAGGGGGGCACAACAGCCTTTTAAGAAAGTCCTTTCATGCACACTTTTCAAACCCCGCACCCTGTTGGGCAGGATCAGATTGGGCCTTTGGGCGACACCCAAATTGACGAGGCTCGGCATGGTGCTTTAAGAGGCTCCAGTTCAGGTCTCTGAAGGAATTGTAACACGAGTGTCGCGTGCTGTTGTTTCCATACATTTCCATACCCTTACTTGTGCTTGAATTTGCTTGAATTTTAATCTTCAAGCCGACTTGAAAACCACACTCCTGATGAATTCCTTATGTGAGGCATGCTCAAAACATCTCAAAACTATGGTAAAAGCGGCTCCTTTTGGATGTCCCGTTGATGATTTTTGCGGACGTGCTCAAAATCCGAACGATGGACTTGCTATGCTTCTTGAACGAAAACCGAACGAGCACCGAGAATTGGACGAAATGCCTCGCTAGGCGAGAGGCCGTGTAAAATTGACCGTGGCTCATGTCCATGTCTCGCGTCGTCGGAAATGCTTTACAGATTGCACGCCGCCTAGCTGTACTGCGCCTTAGGCCCCAGAAGTGGCTTCTTGGAGTAGAGGCCGCCGTGGAGATGCCGATTTTCCACCTGGTTGCAGATTTCCCACTTGGTTGAGTTCAAAACAAGGTTGATAGCTGCTGATCACTCATCCTTCATGTGACTTTTCAGCATTTGCATGGGTGTTGTCATTGCGAGAGGGATCAGCGCAATCGATGCGGCACCCAAGTGTTGGATTCTGCCAAGCCGCTCGGCTGTAGAAATGTCCAGGGCGCTGCGACGCTGGAGCAACAGCGGCACCATCCGATGGAGGCGGCTCCTGGGTCGGACCCTTGCCGTTCAGAGACCGTCGACAGGCCCCGCACCACAAAAGTCACGTGGCACTCTGGACATGCCAAGCCAACGGCTACGATCCATTCCGCAAGAAGCCCGCTTCGGCCCCAGAACTGTGCTGCCAGGCTATGATGCTCTCCACTATGCGGACACACAGGCTTGACTCTGGACCGAGCTTGGAATTTTTGATCTTTCCAACCTTTGGAGCTTTGGAGAGGGGCTTGTGCTGAAACTTCAATCTGCCCCAGTTTGTTTCACATGACATGGAGATTTCCAGCTTGTTTCGCTTACACAGTTAGCAAGAGGATGGCCTGGGATTGGTCCTTCACTCATGGCCATGCCGGCGGGCAGGTGGTGGAAGACTTGCCAGATCCAGAGGCATCGGGCAGAAGTGTTCGGTTTTGATTCGAGTCAAGGAGCACACCAGATTTAATAGTTTAACGAATTTATATTTTATATAGATATATATATATACTGTATTATAATGTATTATATATAGTAGTTTTACTTGATTTAATGTGTTTTTGCAGGCTCTACAACAGCCGCCTCATACTGCCTCCCTTGCCCTGAAACATGCCAATCAAGCGCGGCATTAGCAAGGTGTCGAAGCTCGATGAGCTGGCCGAAGTCCAAGGGAGACAGCCAGGACACACGGAACCCGAAATTTTTGACCTGCCGCAGAGTGCAACTGAAGGATTTGTGTTTGCGATTTCCTTTTGCAGGAAGCCAACACAGTTCCCACTCGCAAATATCTGGCACTGCCAGACTTCGAGGCAAGGTGACAGAAGGATGTGACCTGAACACTTTGGACCCAAACGCAATTTTTTGGGCCAATGTTTTGAGATGAATTATGTCGAACCATCATGAACTGTCAACGAAGGGTCTCACCTGCACTCGCCTTGCGAAAGGCTCGTTGCGAACATTTTGCGGACTCATATTGGACTGCAATGCCAGGCGTGCCGATATTTGTGGACCTGGCAGCTGGAAGGAGAACATGTACAGAGGTGGGCATTATTGCGTTAATGGGGAGCGAGCCGCGTCAGACAATGCTGAGCAAGTTGTTTGCGAATGACAAATCCAAGTCTTTGTGCAACCTCTTTCTCGTTGCTGCCGCACTCCAGATGGCAGCCTTTTGTCAGGATTCTGCTGAAAGCCAGCTGTCTGAAGGGGGCACGGACCATTGATTTGTGTCCGCATGTGAAAATGCCAAGCTTATCCGAGCGTGCGGAGTTGCCAACTACAACCAACAGGTCAACAAGATCTCTTTTGTGAGCCAATACTTGTTGACAACAGCTTCCGTTGGTTGCCAATACTGGATCTGAGGCCGGAGTCTGCTCAAGTACGCTGTTCCGTGGTGAGGGCTTGTGCTCAGGCACCGGTGCGTTGGGTGGGTTGGATGCGTTCCCAAATGGGATGGTTCGGTGAATCCTTGGCGATTCCGGAGCTTTCCACACACAAGCCGTGGCGCAGAGTGAGTTGGACAGAGTAGCAGAGGGATGCCGTGGTGTCAAAAGAGGGAAGGATGCCTAGGAAAGCCAGAGTGACAACTGTAGACACTGTAGAGAGATGCAGAGAGATAGAGAGAGAACATTTTGGGTGACTCTGTGACTGCAACATGGTTCGATGATGCTTGATGCGTTTGGTACGCGAAATGGCATGGTTTTATTGCGCAGGCAGATCAGTGGCAAATTGCTGTTTGATGCTCAGATTATGTGGTGTTAAAACTTGTGGGGAGGTCTATTGATCTCAGAGTATGTGAGAGAACCGAATCGCCCAAGCTGAGGTTGAACTTCTGCGTGAGACAAAAGGCTCAGTTTGACAATTGTGTTTTGAATTGCAGTTGTGTGGCATGAGTTAACGCCAAAGTCCATGACATTAGTGCATCACCCTGCCAGCTTCAGCATTTAAGCACACACATACAATAATTTACAGTTTGCCGTTAAGTTGTTTTGGCCTCCTTACCATTATGTCGCACAAGATCTGAATCTGAAGATGTTTGAGTTCGTGAGGCAGGAGAATGAGCGGGGCTATATACACTCACGGGACGTAGTCTAGATTCAGGATATGGCAGTCGTTGAACATCCACCTGCTGGAAGAACATGCCAGCATTTCTTTGGGCCTACTTGGCTCAAAACCTCTCAGGCTAGGCCTATTCCGCGTTGCTTCGCGTGCAACACGCGGACAGCAGCCGCATTATTGGCCAGACAGATAAGTTCAGCAAATATGTAGGCCGTATGCCTGACCTCATGGAACATAGCATGTTTTGAGTATTCTAGCTTGAACTAGACAACTGGATGCACATTTACACATATTCTGCAGATGGCGAGTGGCTCAGATGTGTTCAGAGCTGCGAGAATCGGCAAACAGCCGCAACAAGCCGAAGAATACACATGTAGGTAGACTGATGGGTCTGGGGAAATGTCACCAACGCCATGCCATGCATGGCTAGTGCCGCAGACGAACCCTGACGCCCCCGTTGAGATTGGATCTGGCGTGGGCTTGGTTGCAAATGGTAAGATGCAGGTGAGATATATAGCCTTTCTGTACAAACCTACCTACCTACCTACCTACCTACCTCCCTACATCCCTACATCCCTACCTGCCTACCTGCCACCTACATCCCTACATGCCTACTTACTTGCCTACCTGCCTACATACCTACCGACCTACCGACCGACCGACCGACATACATACATACATACCTACCTACCTACCTACCTACCTACCTACATACATACTGTGTACATACATACTGTGTACATACATACTGTGCACATACACACTACATGCCTACACTACCCACCTACATTATATACCTACATTATATGCCTACATTACATGCCTACACTACCTACCACCTACCTTCCTTTCTTCCTTCCTTCCTTCCTTCCTTACATGCCTGCCTGCCCGCCTGCCTGTCTGCCTCCTACCTACCTACCTACCTTCCTTCCTTCCTTCCTTCCTTCCATACCTCACATACCTTACCTCACATACCTTACCTTATATACCTTTCATAATACCAACATACCTACATGCTTGTTTTGAGAGTCGTGAGGACTTTGAATTTCCATTCCGCTGCATTTTGTCACCCTGCACTGAACTCAGCAGCACCACCTGTGAGGTTTTGATTGGCAGGAAAGAGTGCTGCCGGATCAAGATCACAGGAGCCACTGTCAGCGCGGTTCAGTGTGAGGCTGGACATGTGAGCTTTGACTGAGCCGTTTGGCAGAACTTCTTGTGACTGAGAGGTGAAATGGAATGCGGAGAAGGATATTTTTGAGCTCACAGACCGCAGCTCCAACGGCACATTCCTGAATGGCCGGCAGGTCAAGCATCCGACGCGAACCTGAGCTTAGCACAGGATGTTTCTGCAAGTGTTAGTTATTATATACAACAATCTAGATAGGGTGCGTGACGCGCGAGTGGCGGCCCTGTTTTTACTAAAAGACGAAACGCGTTCTCTCGTGTTTTCCTTGCTGGGGGGGGTTGAAAAATAGGGGGCCCACAGGCAACCTCAAGAAGCCAGCTCCGCTAAACGCAACAGCAGCACAAGCAACATGCTTTGCTGCAGCACATGTGTTCGTACGAAGTGCAGGCATGCTTGAGTTTTCCCTCTGCAGCTGCAGGGGTGCACGATGTAGTCACGCAATGT